AACAATGAAATTAATTATCTACAAAAAGATATTTGATAAATCAATCACACATTCTAACGTGATAAAAGGATTGGAAATATCTAAATCTAGCTAAATTAACCTCTTTTGTAGTGAAAATTGTTCTTACCGGAGATCGGTCGTAGAGGACGATCTGCTGGGCAAGATTGGTGAGCCTCTTTCGCTGGGTATGTCGGTTGTTCCAAAGTGAGGTGGACTCTGATGCTAAAGTTAGTATATGTGGGTGTATGGGTCTCATATATATAATGCATTTACTTGGACTTTGGGCCTGAGGTCGGTTATGACCCGTTCAAATAGTAGACCTTTATTCTGGCCGATGTTAAGTAACACTCATTCGATGTGTTTAGCGCTTTAGTGCCGAGTTTAAGCTCGGTTCCACGATACGAATAGTACAAAAATATTTTTTTTCTTTTACTTTGATAGTGAAAATATGAAATAATTATTGTCAAAAACAGCAAGCACCTACAAGAATTCAAGAAATCTTAACTCATTAAAAAGAAAAAACTACAAGCAAGAAATGTAATATACAAAAAGCATCCATAAAAATATATGTAATATACAAAAAAAAAATATCAATAAAAATATAATATATGTAAATATAAATTTATTTGATATATATTTACATATAATTTTAGTGTTAATTTTAAATGAGATTTAACGATTTACTTTTGTGTCATTATAACCTATATCTACACATTTTAATATATTTTATCTCTATTAAAAAAAATTGTATTTATAATATAAATAAAAGTAATTTTTAGAGATAAATATTGTATTAATATATTATATACAAATTTTTTTGTAGCAACACTTTTTTTAATTGTTAAGGATATCTTGATTTGAAAACTAATCTCTCAATGTACGAATATTTATTTAAAAAAAAGTGAATTATTTGTCACCTATACCGCATGATGTTGATTGAAAATTGAAATTCTGGTTTGCATCAACCAAAACGATAAAACTAAGATAAGAAAGGCGTAATAGACGGATGATTTCATGAAATTGTATTTTCTCTCCTTTTCCTTACACGTTAGCTTTCAAATTATTTTGAAAAATGAACCATAAACGTAGCCACGTAGGTGAGTTACAAATACTAATACTATAAGGTGACAAAAGTGACACTGTTGAATCATGTTATGCAAACTTGTGATGTGTATATACTCCAATCATATTCTGAGGTTGTGAAAGGCCCTACCATGCATACACAAGAATGAAACCACACACACATGACACACCCCTGCTTACCAAAACCAGTTGCAAATTCCATGTTTCAATGCAACTTCAACTAACGATCGAATCAAATGGCGTTGGCATGTATGTCAAGTGGAATGGATCCTAACATAATACAAAATGACTTGATCATGCTATTGTGCTTTAACCAGGTGAAGAAAACAAAAACATGATCAGTTCAGAGATATTTTTCACAGAAATACATAAATAAATAAAGAAAAATATCAATAAGAAAGGAAGAAATTGAAGTATCTTATCAAACATGCAGCAGGAGCAGGAATTAGGCACGAATTAGTTATACTATATTGCAGAATACTAATTCTAATAAATCAAAAGACGGTTGAAATTTCATGGGACAACATACGAATAATCCATTGGATATATACGTCGCGCGCAGGGACGGAGCCAGGATTTTAATACTGGGGGGCCGAGAATAAATAATATATAATTTATAAGAAATGAAAATTACAGTATCAAAAGCATATAAAAAAAATATAAAAAAAAATTAAAATTGTTGGGGGGGCCGTGGCACCCGTAGGTCCCCCCTTGGCTCCGTCCTTGGTCGCGCGCCAATCAAATGTTCAGGTCCTGCTATATGCTATACCAAAATAATAAAATAAAATTATTGAGACAATTAAAAGACTTCAGAACAAAAGCTTCCCAATCTCCCAACTAGATTGCGGGGGTAAAATAGATGGTTTAGATAAATTTTGAGTTGTATTAAAATGAATGACTATATATATATATATATAATTTTATATATATTAAATGTGAATTTTATTTATTTAATTGTTGAATTATAATTTTATTTCACCTTGTAATATTATATTAAATTTTGTTAAAATTGACTAATAATTTAAAGATAATCAAAATATTTATATTTTAATATATCTTAATATGTACATATTACGTCAATTTTATTTTATAAAAATGATATATCAAATAATCTTGGATTAATATAAAATTTTGTTTATATGATCTAGAAGTAAGAAACTTTCAATATAATGGTAAGTTTTGAAAAATTCACATGTAATTAAAAGTTATTGAATGGTGCAATAATTGTTAAAAATTATATCGGTGTCGTTTGAACCCTCCTTATATATATATAGAGATGAAGGATTCATTTATCGTAAGAGTAGACTTACTTTGCTCAATAACTCATATTCTATATCAAATTTTAATTATTCAACAATTAAATTAAAAATTCTTAATGCATAAATCAAGTATGCAAATTAAAAAAAAATTGAGATACTTTATTTCATTAATTCAAATTATTAGATAATCATACAAATTTTTATATGTTAATTTGAATTAACGAAATAGAGTATAAAATAATTTTATTTTATTTTTTAAATTTGCATACTTAATCTATGTATTAATAACTTTTAATTCAATGGTTGGGTTGTTAAAAATTGATGTAAAACATGAGCTATATCCAACCATTGAATTAAAAGTTCTTAATATATAAATTAAGTCTGTCAATTTTTAAAATATTTTAAAACTATTTGATATTCTGTTTCATTAATTCAAATTGACGGATAATCAAAAAAGTATTTTATATGTTGATTTGAATTAATGAAACAAGGTATCAAATAGTTTTCAAATTTTTTAAAATTTTACAAAATTGATCTATGCATTAAGAACTTTAAATTCATAAATGATTGAATTGTTAAAATTTGATGTATAGGTAGACTTATTCTTAGAATAAGTAGATCATTTTTAACATATATGTGTGTGTGTAACATGATGTAACATGGTTGAGAAAAAACTTGTTACTAAACCCTAAACCCTAATCACGATGTAACATGATTGAGAAATAACTTGTTTCTCAACACATATATGAAAAAATATAAAGAGATATATTCTCTTAACCCAATATATTGATGTGTGTATATAAAATTTCACCATTTTCACTTTTATATATAAAAAAATTAAAAATAGTCATCTCACTAAACAAGTAAATATGTATATATGAGAGACAGATTATCTCATTGATAAAAATAAAAAAAATGATATATATGGATCATTTATCATAAAAAAATAAAGATAAATATTTAGTTTTTTATATTAAAAACTCACTTAATAAATATTTCAAATTAATTCAATAATTCAATCTATGACATTTAAGTGTAGTTGGGTTAGATAAGGTCAACCAAGTTCACAAATCAATCCAACTCGACCACTCTTCTTACTAATTGTAGGAACTAAAAAAAGTCATTGTAAAAATGTTAAGAGACTATATAAGAGCAATTTTTTTTTAGACTTAAAATTAAATCCTATATTTATAAGAATTTTTTTTTGGTTACATGGAGTAAATAAGAATTAAAAACATTTAAGTTTATTTATAGTAATAGACATTTTATAGATCAACTTGTTATCATCTTGCTTTCTTTTATCTCTTAATTTTTTTCTAAATATATCATTTTTTTTACTTAGTTTTATTAATAAAATTACTGTTTTCTTTAGCTGAACAATAAATTAATTTTTTTTACGTTAATTAGATGATTTATTCAAGAGAAAAACTATTTTGGTATTTTTCTTAAAATTTAAGAGTAATTCTAAAATATAATATCATCAAAATATATTTTGTAAAATTTATTTATTTATTACTTTTTAGGGATACGCTATCGAGAGAAAAAAAAAAGTTACTAAAACTCTTTAACTCAAAAAATCGAAAAATAAATGATCAGTATGTTTCTTATTTTTCCTCGATAATAATAGTCAGTCCGGTTCTCATGATCATAACAAAAACAAGCATCGTAAACCATCTTTCTTTGTTTGGTCGACATGCATGCTTCTCTTAAACGTGGAATCAGTACTGATTCAGTAGTCTTAGAGAAAAACTTTTTTTTTTTAATAATCATATACCCAAAACAATCACTGAATGAATTGACCCAGTTAGAAAAAATGTCTTTTCAATACAGTTCAATTCAACCCCAAGGCCCAAAGAGACATGAACAACGACTCCAGTCCATAATCTTAGCTCTTATAGCATCTCGAGTCGTTCCTTAAAACCGCCAACAGACTACATTGTATAACATCCATTCGGCCCATTTTCTCAAATAAACATGTTGAGTCTTAAGCCTAGTTGAATCCTAGAAAAACATGTGAAAAACATAATTATGGAAAATGTTTGGGAAAAAAAATCATCAAAATAAACTAATTCAGGTATTCAAAATGCACTAAATATAATCTTTCTTTATAAAGAATTAAGACGAGGCTTTTCTCTTGTAACACATTTTGTCTTTTTATAATAATTGAGTGTCAAATTCTTTGCGGTCTTGCTTTTCTAAAATATAATCCGTCCACCGTCCCTACGTCAGTGCCTCGAACCTTTGTACAAATGTTCATAGCCACCATCACCAGAGCCCCCACAGCCATTATTTTAGTTCCGTAGAATTCAAGGACTAATTTGACCCAAATAAGAAATACTCCCAAAAAATCCTTATATTACACTAACATGCCACATGGACATCTTACTAATGTTAAATCATGCCTGTTGTTGTAGAGACCAATTTGACCTATGGGCTAAATTAGCGGAGACTTGTGTGATAATTTTCATTTTTCAAGCACCGTCTTAACGGACCCCATATTCTTCAATGAACTAAACTACAAAAATATTCCAAATCTCCTCATCAATTATCAACTTATGTTGATGTTTTCCAGGACGATTGGGACCTTTACCTCAAAGGGATCCAAGTATTCTTTTTTCAAGAAATAATGGGCAAAGAGGTAAACAATCTCCACCGAAATAAAACAGGGGAAACTAGAATGTAGGTTTTTCCTTATTTGATCAATTTACTCATAATTTCCCGAAATGCCGTTGGTTTTTCTTTTGGGAGTGGATAACAAAAGCCCTCGTTTCTGGGTTTACAGTCCTATATCTAATAATTAGGACATAGAAGGAAATTCTGCTTCTCCACACGAACAATATAGTGAAACTGTATATATATACATACATGAACAAAAGAGAAGTGTATGGAGAGACAAGTTATAAGAAGTTCAGATGGAGGTGCGATTGCATAGGGTGTAACCAGAGATGAGTGAGCTGATAGCAAAGGCAACAAAAGCAAGGAAGGACATTCCAATTGAAGCAGTTGCCATTTCAGTGAACTCGTCTTTCCCCCAATTCGATTGCCAGTCATCAACCCGTGTGGCTGCAGATGATGATGCCGATATCAGAAGATATGCCACAACCTACCCATCAATTTCCCATCAAAACGTTATAATTTTCAACAATAATAGCTTTGGGTCTTGCTCTAGTGCCAAGTTTCCACATACACACACAGAACAATCAGAGTACAGCATTAAAATTCATTGTTTTGCCAACCAACCAGAGTAAAGACATTGTAATAACAAGTTAAATTAAATGGCAGCAAAATCACTCGGTTAAATGAATTTTGCCTAAATAAGTGACAGTCACGGAATAAATCTAATAGGATACTATCTATAATCTCTTTGGTGCACACTACACACTTTAACCTTCAACTCGTTTTTAAAACCATTTCATTGGGCTGTTTCAAACACACCACCAATTACATAAACCAATTCTTAGAATCTGGATTTGGATTCAACTTAACCCTAAAAAATCGTGTAGGATCTAACATTCCCCTCACACCGAGTATTAGACATATGTAGATAGTTTAATATTGGTCCAATAGTGATAAGTGTAACAACACTTGTTAAAATAAACTTCAATACCATCTTAAAATATAAGTTTGAATCTAATTCAATATCATAAAACTCATTTGTAAAGAAGATTGACTACTTATATAAACTATTATACTCATTTCACTGATTCACTGATAGATGTGGGGTGTCCAATACCGATCAGATATGCAACTAAATCTAATAATCTAATTTCAAAGAATAAAAAGTGCAGACAATGCCCTAAAATTGCTGCATCAGTCATGTTGGTTGTTGAATGGTGGAAATTACACAGTGGCGCAATTTATGTGGTTATTCTACTATGACTGACCCCATATCTTATTTTTCGGACTAATTTGACTATTTATGCTGTAATTTGACCCCATATCTTACACAGTAGCAAATATTGGGAAGACACGACGCAACACAACATGCACACTTGTCTGACAAAAAATAAAATCTAAAATATACGAATAGAAACCAAGTGGTAGGACTTGCCTGATCCATGAAGAAATCGAAGTGGTAGCGAAGGTGATGATTGATTAAGTGTTTCTCCGTGGCTAATTGATATACCAGATCACATGCCTGTAATGCTGAGTATGCAAAGCCAATGACATTCACAGATAAACAATACCTATCACATCGATAAACGTTACCATTTAGAAAAAAGTTACACATTTATACGATCATTACATATTTGATTTATCTATCAAGAAAAGAGACATGGTTATAAAAAAAAATCAATTAAAAATATAGACCATTTCCCAATCAATATACACAGTAATTCAATCACAAAAATAACAGCATAGTTTTAATTTTCATAAAATATATATATATATTTTTTAATTTTGGTCGATATAAAAAAATATTTCTTTTAAAGCATTTCAAAATTTTAAATTATTATTTTAAGTCACTACTTAGTGTTTATCATAAAAAAATATTTCTTTTTATAGTATATATGTTTGATAAAACTAACTTAAAATGGTTGAAAGTTTTCAAACTAGCTCAAAGTTAATTGATTTAATCAAAATTATTGATAATTGATAAATATAAAATAACATTTTATTTATATGATGATGAGAGTTAAAAATAACATATCAGCTAAATAATTTATAAATTTAAAAAGATTAAAAAAAAAGAATTTTAATTAAATTAATACGGATAAAAAAGTAAAGAGAATAAAAAATAAAAAATTATAAATTATAAACTATAAACTATTTTAATTAATGTATAAAAAACAGTTTTTGACTACAAAAAATAAAAATAAAACTCCTTAAAATAGTACCTATATTCTCTGTAGCGGTCATAGGAATCGCCACTCCAACCTTGCGTCTTATCCGCCGCCATAACAGAGAACGAAATCAGACACACCACCACCTCGCTCAGCCGGAACCCTAGCGCAGCCTTGCTCACTGTCTCCGCCGACTTCCGCCGCTCCGGCGAAAGCCTCGGCCTCCGTTCCCCTCCGCCGACCGCCGGTCGCTGAGGCTCCTCCCGGGGCTCCGTCGCGGGGGCGTTGAAGACCGTGAGCGCCGATGCCGCGTTGTTATCCTGCGGCTTGCGGTGGTCCGGTTGCTTCTCAGGCTTGAAGTGCTTGAGCATGCTGCTGACGGTGACGACGGCCAAGGAGTTGTCGGCGTGTTTTTCCGGCGCGCTTTCCGGCGAGAGGTACTCCTCCGGCAGATCGGTGGGGTCCCAGTGCATGGGGGAGTGGAAGTGGGCGGGCGAGTCGCACTGAGTGGAGGACTCGGAGTTCTTGGAGTGCGACTTGTTCATGGCGGCAGTGCGATCCGCGTGACTAGCGATTCCGCGTTTTGCGTTTGCATTCGGAGGATTTTAAAAGGATGGAGTGGGCAAATAAAGGCGAAGACAATTGAAAAAGGTTAAAGGTTCGTTTGGGTGGTGCTAAAGTGAAAAAAGATAAAAAGAAGAACCATGACCTTCGTTTCGTTGGCGTTTCGTAGTCTAAGACCCTGCCACGTCGATTGCTTCACGCTCTTCACGCCTCTCTACTCATTAGGATTGGGCCTTTCTTTTTTAATTTCTAATGAATATCTTCATAAATCAACTGAATTTCTTTCATTATAAAATTTTTTTTATTTATAAAAAATATTATTAATTAAACAAGAATCATCACGTGACAACCATTCCAGTTTTCGGCTCTTTAGCGTGGAGGAGATTATGCTTAATAAAAATATTTATCAAAACATTTTGTCAATACACTCTACTGTGATTTGCATTGCATTTTTAAGGTGATTTCTAATAAAAACTTTCTGTTATTAATTCTTTACTTGGTATAAAAGTATGGAAAAACTTCTTTTTGTGGGGAGTTTGGACTTCCAACCTTTTTCCATTCCTCGTATAGGTTTCAAATCCTTAAATGCAAAACTTTAAATGCTTTTAATATTTAATATTTAATGGCTTATTTATAACACATTGTTAATAAGAAAATTTAATTTGAGTATCCCACATAAATTTTTCCCTTCCCAAGTTGATGCAACGATGCTTTGAGATGAAACCAAGTTTATTCATGATGCAATTCTTTGTAACTGACGTGGTATAAAATTAGACAAATTAAAACTAATGCCGTGAAACTAAGTTTATCCAAGAAGCAATTCTTTGCAGCCATAAATTTATCACCCTTGTTATGTGTATTTTACATATAGTGTCAATGCCTTAATAATATATGTGCCGAGAAGTATGCACATGAAAAGCTTAAGAACTTGGGTAAGGATATGGACTTTTATACATCTAATTCTTTATTGGTTATTTTAAGAACTTTCTAAGAACATTAAATTAGATAAAAATGCGTGAAATAATTTACATGACTTCGCTAATAAGACTTACCTTCTTAGTGCTCTGTTTAATTTGTCGGGTCTCTAGTGAATAAACGAAGGATATCCAAGCGGGTCCGATTAAAATCCAAACCATCTTTTTCCTATGAAAAAAAAGTTATCTGATTTCGTTCACTTTAGTATAATAATATGACAATTCCATTAAACTTTAACCCAGCGTCCACTGGAAAGGTTCCTTCTGCACATTTTAATGCATTCTTTCATATACAAACATCTAAAGGCCAAAAAATATCAATATAAAAACATGTATTGAAAGCAACCTGCTACATAATGGAGCACTTACTTTCTCACAAGACACCTTTTATCTCTACACACGTCACCTAAAGCACTATAAGATTATACAGGAATCTAGCTTTGAGCCATCTTTTGAACTGCCGATGCCTTGACCATAGCATAAAGCATATGATTATTATTTCCTTTCTTTCAAGAGGACATGATGTAACAAAAAATGTGGATAAATTACCAGAGATCTAAAGTTCTTTATTATCAAATTCAACTAATAATTGCTCCCTTTCATGCATGGAGACTGTCTGGGACTTCCACAAACGACAAGTTCAAATAAGAAAGGAAGCACACGGAGCCATAAACCATACTATGCACATAAAATATAACATATGGTCCTACCAGAGTTACTATCATTCTATTATGTTGGCCAACAAAATTTATTTACACGAGATGATAGATAGCAAAGAGATTGATAAAAGGAACAAAAATGAATTCATTAAAAGGACTGAAGGGCTAGAAGTTCTTGGAAAACTATCACTCAGAAAAGGGTAACAAAGTACTCTCATCGCTAATGTCAGAATCCTTCATGTTTCAAAACCCCGCAGCAGATAAGTAAAATAGACAGGATTAAGGCACCATGGCTCACTCGGGTAGTTTCAACCGGTTGAACAACACAAGAAAACTTTGCTCAGGCACAACATAAAGGAAACCGAGGTCTGCACCTTTCATGTATGGTCCCATGCCCTAAATATGACAACACAACAGCAAAAAATTCAACAGCAATTCTACCAAATATGTCTATTAACCAAGACTTAGAATGATGCTAGTACATTGAGAAAAATGCAACAAATGTGTACTAATTTACCTTGCCATTAAGTTGGAGCAGTTCTCCATCGACCCATTTCGGATTTCGAAAACCATAATCAGCTATTCTCCCCTGGCCTTTATAACTAGCAACCTGTTTGTAAATGAGTGCAGTATTTATGATTAGTTGCATGTTTCCAAAACAATCCAAAGTGACCAAAATAATACAACTTCAAAAAGAAAGAAAACTCGTGCAAAGAAGAAAGGATGCAAACCAATAAATATATACGGACCTCAAAAACATCTAGTTCAAATAAAAGCATTAGCAATAAAAGGAACTACAAAGAAATTGTAAAAGACTAATTTTTCCGGGTATACACTAGAGGTATTCTTTAGCCAACAACCATAGAAACTGGACCAGAAATGGAAGAAAAACAATTTCTTTATTGATTGTGTGTATCTATATAAAGAATTTCCAGCATATTCGAGGGATTCAGACCTCTCCCTAGTCCCAATTCTATTTCACCAAATGATTGATTCTTCTTCTCAACTCATTTTCCTATTCACAGGCAGCTACTGGGATGCTAATCTGTTGAAATCAGTACTGTTACTGCTACTGAAGTTTTGGGGGATGCAATCTCTCCTCACTGACCTTCAAGTTCCCTTTTCCTGCACCACCATTTACTATGACAATCTCAGTACTGTAGCTCTCAGTCATGATCCAGGTTCTCCAATCTAGAACCAAGCACTTGGAGCTTGATATCTTCTTTGTCCGCGAGAAAGAACTTAATCAGTCTCACACTGTTTCTTACATTCCTGAAGAAGGTCAAATTGCTGACATTCTCACTAAACCTCTCTCCCACATTTGGTTTTGTGCTCTTAGAGATAAGCTCAAAGTGATCTCACGTTTTCCACCTCGAGCTTGTAGGGAGGAATGATAGATAGTGTATATGTTGTATAGGTTGTATTTTATACACTATACACCTGTCCGTAGCTTAGAGTTTGTTATGACAGTTACTGAGTTTGTTATAACAGTTGTCAGTTAAGAGATTGAGCTATATCTCTGTATTCTATAAATACCATTTTGTAATCAAATCATAAACAAGAAAGAGAAAAACACTCTCCTCTCTATTTTCTCTATTTTCTTACAGATAGAAAAAGCATCTTTGTGAGTGCTTATCCAAAAAAAGAGGGAAATGGTGCAATCTTGCACCTGTTGTAGCAGTTTTCTCTCTCCTACTGGCACAAAACAACAAGGAGCTGTTATACCTTTGTCCAAGATGTGCATGGTACTGCCTGCTGTGAATGCTTTGTCCCCCGCCATGTCTCCCAACGTTCATCTTCGTAAGGCTATATATAGAAGATCCTCTACAACATTGAAGATATTGATTCTGAGTTGATTATTTAAACGGGGATTTATACATGTCACTTCCGAGGAAGCAATCAAGAGAATACTCAAATTTTTTGAGTGGACAATCCTTGTAACTGTTACTTGATTTTTAGTTGAGTAATGAGTGACTTAATGTTTGTAACTTCCATATTCTCACCGTGATAAGTTAAACACTAGTAAACCTTCAACCTTTGTTTTGTAAGAGCCTAGAGAGGTTTGAAGTTCAGCTCATGTTGAGGCTGACAGTTTGTAAAACCTGAAGAGGCAGAGAATACTTGGTTTTGTACTCTTAAGTTGAGTAATGAAAATCTTTCAATAAGGGACTGGAAGTGAACCAGTATAAAAATCCATGTTTCTTCTCTTCCCTGCTCTCTGTTCATTTATTGGAAAATCTATTCTAGATTCGTTTATCAGCTAATGTGTTTGCTAACTGCTAGTACTGAAAAAAGTTTTTCAAGAAGCTTTTTAAACACACAATTCAAGCACCTTCTTGTGTGTTAACCAGTGTTTTACAAAGAGCACCAAAGTTTGGAAGTTCCAATAGTGGGAGATTGGAGAATGATAGTGTTGCTGATGCTCCATTTATGACTTCCTTTTGTCATGAACTTCTGCCATATGCTCCATTGGTTCATGGGGATCCTCTTGAATCCAAATATCTGGATTAAATTCTAGTTGGGACTCTTTGAGCAAAGCCTTCACGAATTGCAAACATGATGAACTTGGATGGTCCTCTTTCCACACACACCACCAAACGAAAGCACTTCCTCACATAAACTTCACAACCCTTTGTATCTTTTTTGCTCAATTATGCCAAAGGCCTCAAAATGTTGCTCCATGTTAATCAGCCATCCACAGGCTTATTTTCCTCGAAATTTTGGAATCATCTTCAAGACTTGATACCCACAGCTCCAAAGATCGTAGATCTAATAGCAGTTGATAGAAACTGAATAAAAAATGGAAGAAAAACAAAATTTCTTTATTGATTGAGTGTATCTCAACAAAGAATTTACTGGATATTTGAGCAGTGATCGGCCTAGTCCCAATTCTATTCCATCAAATGATTGATTCTTCATCTCAACTCCTCTTCCTATTTATAGACAGCTACTGGTATGCTAACATAAACCCACCTTTAATGGACCTAATCTGTAACAGGCCCATTACATTAACTACTAATATAATTGACAAATTAGGTGTACAATATAGAGATAGCTAAAGTAGCCTTTGCCTCTCCGAGCAAAGCCTGTACAGGCACCATAATCTTCTTTCTCTTTGGTATACTGTTAATAGTGACATCAGCTCACAATTATCAGTAGCAATCAACCTTAAAAATGCTATAGCAAGCCGTTATTCAAAAATTTTATATACAATTAAATAATTAAACTATATGCATAATTGCATATAAATGTTTAAAAAAATTTATGAATAACACTAAAAATTGACAACATATACATCATTAACAATAAAAATCACAGGTCTTGAACAAAACAAAAAAGTAAATAACAATACAAGTCAAGGAAAAAGATAAAATTCAAAAGACATTCATGTTTAAAATACAAGACACCAACAAGTCATTGGTCTAAGTAAAATTGGAGTCAGATCTCTTAAGTAAAGTCTTGTATTCGACTCTTGTAAATGGAAAAAATGCAATTGGGAAGGAAGAACTCCACTAAAGGTAGTCAATTAGGTTCTCCGACAGAGATTATATATTAGTCATTGGCAAAATTAATGGATACTTCGTACTAAAAACATAATTATCCAAAAATAAAGACAACTTAAACATTCAATAAAAATAGGGAGGGTGGATGTTGCATTTATTTGAATACTACTGTAAAAGTTAGGAGATTTGGGCAATTAAAATTAATAAAATATAATAGCGGGTGCTGGAAAGAGTAATGCAGTCGCACAAAATAGGACTTGAATAGGACACAGATATGTGGGACAGCAGGTGAGGTTATAATATAAAAGGTTGTTAGGGAAAAGGTCAAGCATGATGGGTTGAAGTGAAATTTGAAAATAAGCATGCTCCAACATTAATAAGCACTCAAACACACAGACATTCACTTATATAAAGCATTACCACTCCTAATTCATCAGGATACATCCCACGGTTGGAGGTGCGATTGCCTCTGCCAATTTTAGCACGGAATGTCACCTACACACACAAAAAAAATTTGTTTTCCTGTCATGCTCACATAAATTTGACAGATGTTAACAATATGATAACAAGAATCAAGAAATTAAAAAGCATATACCTGGCCAGCAGGAACATTAAGATCCCCAGTTAACTTCACAGCCTCTACATATTCAAAGAATCCCACATCTGAAGTGTTGTTTTCATTGTCCACATCATTCCAATGTCCAAATTTTCGCTTCAATTGCACTATTTCAATGCCATAAGGGCCAAATGCACCATAGTAGAGTCCTACATTTTAACCAGCACAACCCATTATTTTAGTTATTCTTTGCCTAAATTCCATAAAACGCATTGACACAAAAAGGTTAAACAACCTCACCATCAAAAGGATCAAAATCCCCTTTTGGAGAGGTAATCCGACTAAAATGTGTATCCCCAGATAATCTAGTTCTTTTCTGTGCTTGACTAATAGCAAGTTTTACAATTTCACGCATGCTTTTTGAGACCTACATGAAGCATCAGGCAGTTCATTGACAAGTAAAACACAATATATCAGGTGATAGTTAAAAACTTTGCAATGTGTCAGGCAGACACTACAATATTTTTTTTTTAGTAATTTAAGATAAATTTGCACCGCGACTGACATCACAATTATGATACTGTTATACAGTTATCATTTAAGTAAGAATATATAGTCAACTCTCATATATTAATGTTGATTAGATTACAATAATCAACTTTAATATTGGTGTTGATTATGCCCATATGCACTACATAGCCAATCAAAGTAAGAGGTAATTTTGTCAGAAGGTAGCACCTACAAGTGTATGATCAAAGATAGAAGGCTGGAAAAGCTGAAGAAGTAAGGTGAGATGCAATGCAAGTAAGTTAAAGGAGAGACAATAGTGTATGCTTATAGACAAAAGACTGGAAAGGGTGAAGTAGTAAGGTGAGACACAATGCAAGTGAGTTAAAGGAGTGCCAATATGGATGATAGATCTAATGTACAGCGGGGGATTTAGGGAAAATTATGTACAAGTTTTCCATCTTACAGTTTAGGCTTGGGAATTGGAATTTCCTCCAATGCTGGGAGAATTAGCTGTTCTCATTTTGTACTTCTGTCTCAGTTCCTTCATCAATAATATAGTCTCACATTTTCATACAGGTATTGTCCTACTGATTAGTGTTATTCATCCCAAAAGAATTGTAGTCAACATGATTTTATCACAAATAAAACCTTTTCTTAGCATTACAATCTTAATCATAACAGGTGTTTCTTAATGCTTAACACTAACAGAACTAAAAATAAAAGCATGATTATTTTGTTAATAATGCTTGAATATCGCTTATCCCATTCTCACCTTAGAAGAGACTTTGTCAGAACTCCAAAATGCCTTAGCAACATCAGGAGGCATAAGCTCTGATACTCCTTGTGCTGCTAGAGCTGCCACTTTGATATCGGGAACTTTATCATCTTTAATACCATAATCTAGATTTTTACTAGAAAAATGAAAGACAAAAGAATCCTTTTCCATATTGTTTATTACAGCTGGAAGACGTATAAATTCATCCTTGACAGGAGTATCTTCATTGTTGTGTACAACCCCACCAATAAAAAGCTTCATGTCCAAATCCTTTTCTTCTTCTGTGGCATCACCATCTCTTTCTAAAGTGACCCCATCAGGTTCATCCAGATTATTAACTACCTCTTCATGATTCTCACTGGAGCCTGTTTTATTACTATCTTCCTCATTATCCTCTGTTGCTTCCTCTTCAACATTAACATTCATAACTTTGACTTTCAATCCTGGAATTTTTTCTTTAAGAAAATTAATGACACTTTTAATACCCTCCTCAGTTGCTCCCTCGATATTACTATTTTTCTCATCATTTCTCTCAACCTTCTCTTCATGTTCATCCACCTCGACTGAAGATGCATTCTCCACCTCAGGTTTGGATGGGCCTTTAGCAGGTATAGATGGAGGGTTTTTCCTTGACTTTCCTTTGGCTTGTCGCAAATACACTACCTATTAAGTGTTTCCAAATATCACATCATAAGCAATACACACATACTACTAAACCAAACTAGTCAGAATCAAGTATACATTAAAGACAACTGGACAAGAGAATCAGTAAAGAAAAGCAAACTGAAAATCATAAACTTCAGAAAAACCTAAAAAATTAAGCCTTTTCTGATAAATATGAAGGTCTTCTTTAAGATTGAAACAATTCAAAACCATCCATGAATCAACATTTGAACTAAGACCTTGTTTTCCACTTTTCCTCTAGCATATTGGTAAGTCACAAATGAAGCATGAATTAATTGGAAAATTTGAATATTACCTGCATGTGATAGGTGTCATCTTCTTTTTTTACCACATAAATTTCAAAAATTGGAGTCCCAGTAGATGCTGTGATCAACTGTCTGTATTAAACAGAAATAAGCAGTGCTCCCCAATAACCAAAGGGAAAAATATAAAATAGAACAATCCTACCTTGGACTGTAGCTCTTGCCAATGAATCTACCCATACCAGGACTTATATGAATAATTCTACCAAAAGGGTCATCTGAAGTTTTTGAGTACCCTACCCACCAACCAACCTGAACATTAAGGTAAAAATGGTCATCAAACAATAAGGGACAACGATTCACAAAATCATGCTATCAATCAGTAGTACCACAATCAATACTCAAAAATCAAAACCACCATTTTGTTTTCCAGATGGAGTTATCTGTATCTTCCCAGACAGCTGCATAAGTTTATTAGCACAAGCTTGTTTCTAATCTGGCATGCCATCTGTTTTAAAGTTTCTTAATCTTGAGTTTGCTTCATACCATAATATATAACCTTTATTAATCTTTTTCTTAGTCATAGGTGTGTTGAATGATGACAGTTACCGAGTTTCTTCCAAACTATGAAGTCCAAGTACTTAGTATGACACAGATACAATACGACATGGGTATGGAGATATGACAATTTTCTTTTTAAAATTTAGGATACAATACGTTTTGGATAAGTTAATAAGATTTTATAGAAAAAAATTATATAGATGTAGAAGAATATTGGTAAAGAAAGAGACATTAATTCTTTTTTATTAATTCATAACTATGATGATTATAGTTTACAAAGAAGATATTTATAATCATAACAACAAAAAATACAGTTTTTGCACATATTAAGTTAACTATATTAATAAAAGCATCTTTGGTATAACTTAAAGCTAATATTGGTTCTATACAATAGCTTATAACCCAAAAGCTTCATTATTAAATTACTGTCTAATGTTAATTGTATCACTCTCTTCTCCTTGTTACCATCATCTAGAAAAAACCATAGTTTCAAAGTTTGGTTCATCAATAGGGAACTCTTCCAATTCAAGAAGTCTAGCACCATTATCAAGTGGATGATGTATACCTCTACTAATGTTTCACAACCTAGTCTCTCCTTTTTTATAACCTCATCTTTCATGAACAAAAGTTGAAGGTTGAAATGCACATAAACCATATCTTCTCCCCTTATCGATCCATTTTGTTTTTCTTCAAAGAATGAATAAAGGAGTATGTACTCCAATTCCTTTCAGAGCATGACAAAAAACACGACTGTACAAAATGCTTAAGACAAGTCTTTTGGATACTTTTCAGATACATATCTAGAAGTTTTTAATAAGTATCCAGGAAGTATCTAAAAAAAGGTTAAAAAATAAATAAAAAAGTATTGAATACTTTTTGGATATATATCCAGAAGTATTTGAGGAATATCAGTATCCGGAACGAGTACAACACCGATACTTTTCCATTTTTGGAGTATCTGAACTTCATAGCTTCCAAACATATCACTTATTTATTTACTCCTTCAATAAGAAAAAAATTAAATCCACATTACTCCCATTTTTTTTTTCAAAACACACTTCTAAATCCCTGTTCTCTCCCACTCCAGTCATGAGTTATTGGTTGCAACTTAGATGTGGCATTTGAGTATCTAATAAACTCAATAGGAGAAATAAAATTGTGAATTGTTATTTTCTGCAGGGGAAATTTTACTTGTTTTCTAGTATGGATGAAGGCAAGTTTGGTGAGTCATGTTGAACAACAGTGTCTGCTTTTATGTAGGATTTTCCCAAACAATTATGTAAGGAGAAGACTAAGATAGTTTTCGCCCCAACTTTTTTTTCGCTTCTCAACTACATAAAAGTAATAAATCCTCCACAAATAGCAATATTTTTGGGCTCTTCATTATTAAAAATAAAAATAAAAATAATGATAATAATAATAATAATAATAATAATAATAAAACTATTTTTCTTTTCAAGAGCTTTTCTAAAAGTATTCTTGGCTCAACTTCTCCCTATAAGACAAAAATAGTCAGAAAAAAAAGCTTAGGCAAACAGTACCTAACTAAAATGAAGCTTCAAATGCAAGAATAAGAAAACTGTAAAAGGAATGCATTTGAACAAAGTACACATACCAGTCCACTTCCAGTGTTTTTACATAATCTTGAAGCATCATGGTATCGCTCATCATCTATAGCACTCTGCAACATAAAAAAGAAAAAAAAAATCACGAGATTAACATCGAGCACAATCCAAACCATAAAAAACTAATTGATACAAAATCCAGTCATGCCTTCAAAAGGGACAAAATTTCAGCAACAGTGTCCTTGGACGTTGCTTCCGCTATAGCCCTCTTCAGCTTAACCGCTTCCTGAAAGTCCTCCTTCTCAATAGCATCATCAAGTTGAAACTACAAAAACACACAAACAAAACTAACATAAGCATCACCCATCTTCATATAAGGTTTAATTACTCTCTCTCAATCCCTATGGTTTCACCAACTTTAACTTTTAATCCTCCGTGTAAACAAAAATATTTAAATTTAGTCACTATGCATATTAATTGTAGTCTCAGTATATGACTAAAATGAAAGTTTTTAAGACCGAAAAGTAAATTTTATGAAACTAGAGGGAAAAAAAGTTTAATTACCTTGGTATAATTAGGAACCCAAATTCGCCAAAAAAAAAAAAAAAAAATTTTGTTATGTACCTTGAGGACAGAGGCGAAATTCTCGGCTTGTTCGATTTCGGAGAAGTGGCGACACCAACGGTTCCAATCCCAATTGTGAGAGGTATCGTCGGAATTGAGGGTGCAGCGGCAACAGAGGGTGGTGTTGTTGCGGTTCCTTCTGGAGGAGATTGAGAGATTGGGCTGGGAGGAGTGGGCCAGGCCCAAGAGGGAGGAAGAGGGTGGTTTCTTGGGGTGGAAATCGAAGGATGAAGTGGAGATTGAGATGGAGATGGCTTGGGACACACCCGCCATCGCCACCACCATGATGTTTGGTTAAGGTTAAGGTAAAGGTTGTCGGTGTTTGGTTTTTTTGAGGAGAAGTGACTTCTGAGAAGGTGGATACGGTCGAGTTGCTGCAGCTTGTGTGGAGATAAGTTTTGTTTTGTTTTTATACCATGTGGATTGAAGGATCGGAGTGGTTTTAGGATTATTATGCTGTAACTGTAATGAAATACCAAAAAAATAAAATGAAAGCCAAATCAACAATTTTATACCATGTGGATTGCCTGTGTTTCTGTAGGATCTTATTTTATTTTATTTTTAACAAGGATTGATTTCTTTCAAACATTACTAAGGATTATTACCTTCAAAAATAAAGGGTATTTATAATCTTATCGGATGATCAGTGCATGTTTGGATTAACATTAAGAAGTTCCAAAATGAATGTTTAAGCATTTCAATGCACCAAATGAAAATGATAAAGTAAGTATATTGTAGGCTAATAGATTAAAAAAAAAAAAAAGATTATATTAGACCCAACATTTTTCAAACACCACCTTAATAGATATAATGTGTTTGAGAAAGTTGAAAATTCTTATATTATTTTATTTATTAATTATATAAATAATTAATTATTGTTCTAATTGATTATAAATAGAGTAGAATTTTGTTTAGTTAAACTTTTTTTTCAACTTTTGGTTAAGCTTGCTAAAAAGTAATTTTAAACACAATTTATTTTGTAAGCAACAATTTTTTTTCTTAAAAAATAGCTGAATGAGAAAACTATTTTAAAAAAAACATACTTTTAAAATTAATTATAATCTCAAATATTAATTTTTAAATTATTATTAGTATACTCTCTTTATAATAGTGGAATCATATTTAAGACAAATTTTTAGCATGGGCAAAAACAACAGGTGGCTCACATTAAATAAAAAATAAATATTGTTAGATTTTTATTATCAGGAATTACACCATTTGTACTAGAATTTTTCTGTTTTCTTTTTCTTTTTCTCTTTGTTCTCTTCTCCTCACTCCTCCATCATCAACCTACTATCATCTTTGACATTTCCTTGAACACCATTTCATCCCTTCTTTATAAAATGAGAGTTTTGATTTTAGTATTTATATAATAAAAAAAAATATCATGTAAAAACTTAGAATTATTGTCTTTTGTTATTGTAAAATGAGAAAGATTTTGTTTTAATCCATATAAAATAAGAAAATTCTATTTATAGAATAAGAATATATTACAACTAGTCAATTTTTTTTATTTAGGGACTAAAAGAAAATTAAAAAAAAAAATAAAAGCTACAAATATATTTAACCTTAACAAAATTTAAAATTAATTATGATCTCAACTTTGATTTCTACTTAATAATTGTTGTTGTACTTTACTTTTTAAAGTACATTACCTCACATTAAAATAGTTGAATTCCATTTTTTCTTTTAAGAAAGGATAAATTTTTCAAAAAAAAAAATTGGTCTTGTAACGAGTATCTTCAAAAAAATATAATTGCTTTTAAATGTCTCAAGTGATATAAATTGAGAGAAATTGAATTTAAAAAGTTTAATTTAAATTAGACTATATTTTAAAAAATAATTAATTTAATTTAATTTGTTGAGTTCATCAAATTATCTAACAAAAAATATAATTACTTTTAGATGACTCGAGTGGCATTGTATTCATGCAACCTTTGTATAAAAAAAATCCATTTTTAATAAATAATAATTATTTTTATACCTTTAAATTTTAAATGTGTATATGTGTGCATGTGTTAATTAAATCTCTACATCAATTAAAATTTTATTTTTGTTAGTTTGAACCCACTTATAGAGGAGCTCATCAAACTCGATGAAAGTTTTATGGCCAACCCAAGTCTGTTGGGATTCATAGGTTTATTTAGAGATATTGCTAGAAGTTGGCTTTCTAGGTTCACATGTTCCTGCAAGTTTTCTTCTAGTTAAAATGCAGACCTCTTGTTGTTCTTCATGATTTACAACTTGCCCTCGTGTCTTAATCAGATTCCAAAGTCACTCTTCATCTTATTCATAATAACGTGGTCTAGACTCATCCGTATGAATAGATCATATATTATGTGTTCTTTTTAAGATCATCCTTAGCATGTTACTTTCATTTACATATGACAATGAGATTAGTGAAGTGAGTATGATAGAGGTTGGTAAGCATATATCCATCATCGTCCCCATTCTCGATATTAAATCAGGTATTATTCATATTCGTTCCCATACTTGATCAAATCGAGTATTCTCCATCAAAGTCAAAGTGAGTTCAAATACTACTCACAAGTACGAATTTACTTAACATCCCTATATTAGATGGACAGTGGGGTACTTGTTTCCGTCCTATCAGGTACAAATTTGCACCATACCCACCTTATACTTGCACAAAGTTTATAATACCCACAAATATTCATTAATATTTGAACATTTTTAAAAAAATTAAAAAAATATTGCAAGTAAATTTAAACTTGTATTTGACATTAACTCTATTAAAATATTTAAAATAAACAATTGATATCAATTTTTGAACTTTCATTTAACGTTAATTTTATTAAAATATTAAAATAATATAAATAAACATAAGATAAACATAAAGATATTTAAGTAATTTTACTTAGTGGGTTCTGCGGTATGAATATTACCATACTAGCCTCCAACCAATTTATAAAAAGATAGAAAAATACTTTTACATGTTATTTGCAGATATTTATTTAAGCTATCTATTTATTATCTATGATAGATTTTATTTGCAAACATCCATCATACAATTATTTTTTTTATCCCTACCTTTATTCATGTTTATTCATTTAGGTTACCTATTTATTATCTATGACTAATTTTATCCAAAAATATTCATTAGTACAAGTTTTTTTTGTTATCCCTACCTTCATTCATGTCTAATTCATGTCTATAAACATGTCTAATTCATCCGTATAGAGAGGTAAATGCTTGTGCCAACTCATTGGCAAAACTTGGGATGACTTTTTTTTATCTCCATGTGTTTGTTGTTCATAGCCATTGTCCTTTTACTATTTAATTATTACTAGTGGTAGATGCTTCAAGCACTCATTTCACTAGAGTTGTCTAGCTTTCTTTTGTATTTATTTCCCAATGATGATGATGATAAAAAAAAAAACCAAATCTCTATCTAAGACAAATAACATTTCTCTTATGTGATATTAAGGGAGCAATTTATTTTTGTTTCGACCATAAGTTCACTAACATCGTTAAAGTCATCGTATTTGAGATATTATTCGTTGAGTTGTTGTGATTTTGTTTTTGAAAATACATCTTAGAGGGTTAAGGAGGGAGGGTATTTATAAATTATTCTTAATTTCAATTTCTAAGTAATGTGTGACTTTTAGGTATAACAGAATAAGTCCCTCAATTGAGTTTAAGGGGGCAAGAATGGTTTGAGCCCTCTTTCTAGCATCAATGTTCCGACTGTAAGCCCCCTGACATCGTTAGGGTCACCACATTTGAGGTATTATTTGCTTTGAATGCTTGTTCAGTCATTACAATTTTGTTTTTGAAAAGACACATAAATATGTTAAGGAGAGAGAGTGTTTACAAATTATCCTTAGCTTTAATTTCTAAGTGATATAGGACTTTTAAGCATATCAAAACAAGTCCCACAAGTAGACAACACCTCAAAAGTGGTAACCCTAATGATGTTAACAAACGTTGAAATATTCATTAAAAGGAGAGCTCAAGCAACTTTTACCCATTAGCCTTGACTAAAGGTAGGGGTGGAGGGAGGGGGGACCTAAAGGGGCCATGGTCCCCCCATTTTTTAAAAATGAGTCAAAAAAAATTTTAAAATTTTTTTTGGCTCCCTAAAATTTATTAAAATATATATATATATATATATATATATATATATATATATTATAGATCGATAGATAAAAATTATCATATTAGTTTGTATTTATAGAAAGAAAAAGAGATAAAAGAAGTATAAATTATTTATAATGTTAAAATATTTACTAATAAAAATTGTCCCCCTTTAACATAATGCTCTAGCTCTTAACATAATGCTCTGACTCTACCCCTAATTGAAAAGTTTGTTTTAATATGCCTAAAGATTTAAATATATGTATATATATATATATATATATATATATATATATATATATATTATAGATCGATAGATAAAAATTATCATATTAGTTTGTATTTATAGAAAGAAAAAGAGATAAAAGAAGTATAAATTATTTATAATGTTAAAATATTTACTAATAAAAATTGTCCCCCTTTAACATAATGCTCTAGCTCTTAACATAATGCTCTGACTCTACCCCTAATTGAAAAGTTTGTTTTAATATGCCTAAAGATTTTATATCGCTTAAGGGTCACGATCAAAGGTTGTTTATAAATACTTTATTCCTTAACCTACCGAAACACTTTTTCAACAACAAAATTATAAAGGTCCAACAAGTATCAAAATAAATAATGCTTCAAACAGGATGATTCCAATGATGTCAATGAAATTACGGTCAAAACAATTTTTTTTCAGCAATACTACATTGAAATAATATACACAAAAATTAGATTGGCAAGACCATAAGAAAAATAATATAAATAAAAAATAATCTCAAAAAATGGAAGTATTTTAAATGAAGAAAATAAAATAAAAAATAAACTAACCTATATAACTAAAGTAACTAAATTGTTTTAATAATTATCTCAAAAAAATTGTTTTAGTAAAAACCCAGACCACACAAATTAAAAGTACAATATACAAAACATGTAAGCAATCAATTCAATCATGGCTAAATGTAAGCATCACACTACTAATTCACAATATTATTAAATTGATTAGAAATTATAAACTCATAAATGAAACTCATTAAATAGGAATTTATTTTCACAAAAATTTATAACTTTCAATTAACAATAAAAAATAGTTTTAAAACGGCTGAAGTAGAGAGTACATTACTAACATTTCCATTCACACTATATTTTACAACTATATTATATAGTTTCGTTTCATTGATTTTTCTGATCCTAATCTCATTACTAATTAGGTGGCACTTACTAATTGTTAACCCTGTCCTAGCGCGTCACTGTCAGAAAGTATTTGACCAGGCACTACAGTGTTTTCACACCACGTAATTGAATGGGCGAAAATCCAAGCTCCATGTGGAGAGTTTATAACCCTTGAAACAAACAAGTGGAATATTTGTGCATTGACGATTATTAGTGACCACAATAATTCCAAAAGTTGCACGCATCGAGATGACAGGGGCTAGGAAAGAGCCACCTCAAGTTTTAGAAGTATAAAAAAATAAATCCTCATCTTGAGATGCTGATCGTGTCTTTTGTGCGTCTATGGTGTCACCTCAGCAACAAAGTCCCTAGCAATAAACTCGACATCATACCATGTAGTATATTTGAAGATATTTCTCATACGAAAGCTTTAGAGATGTCGGATTTGATTTAACAAACTTCCAAAACATAAAAACAGTTAAAGGGATTCTTACCCCCAAGAAGTAAATCCAAAGTAGGAAACAAGTATTCAATATACAATTCTTAGAATTTTCAACTCTGTTGACGGTTATTAAATCACCAGAATTGCACGTCTGCAGCTCTGACCTATGTTAGCCAAGTAAGTCTTATTTCAACAAGGTCCCTCAAAAAGGAAGCTGACCCATTTCTTTATGAATCAGACCGGAAAGAATCTCGTTACACTATGCACCATTTTTAAAGGTTCAGGCAATGAATGGATACGGATATGTATCCAGCAGCTTCTCACGAATGGGGTAAAAATATAACAGAAGTTGGGCAATGTGAAAGTATGTCTAACTTTGTGCAGATGAGAGAGTAACAGAAGTGGCCTGATCTCGAGTTGAAATATTAGGAGTCACAACAGATCCAACACCATTTTCAGCATTATCCAAAGCGTTGTCTGTCTCACCAACTGGTCCAGCAATTTCAGCACATACTGGGCGGAGAATCCCTTGTAATCTCAACAGATAACTCTGACTAGAAGCTTGGTCTGTCACATGTCTGCTCGTCACAGCAGTGGCAGAAGACTGTTCAGACTCGGTGCGGATGTTAGACAGAGCACTTAGATCAAGATTCGGAAATACTGAGCAACGGCACCGAGGACAATTCACATTAAGCCGAAGCCACTCATCAATGCATTCAACATGAAAATTATGAGCACAGGGCAGGCCACGGACCTGCACCGCGTTAAGTTAGAAGCTAATTTCCAATTGCTCGTAATGCTATTAATATATATTTTTTTAAAATATCTTTATAATTTCTCACATTTAGAATAAGTTTGTTTTTATCCCTTTGTTTTTAATCCTGTAATTTCAACAATTCTTGTTATTGTTCCTTAGGTACTCAAATTTAGACTAAAATAAGACTTTCAAATTATAGGAACTAAAAAAATAAATTTTAAATTTAAGGGATAAAAACAAATTTATCTCATTTAATAAACTAAAATATATTTAAGCCATATTTTTTTTTTCTTCTATTGCTGAATAAGGCCGCATAGGTACTCAGATGGAACAAAAAGCATACCTGATTCCCTACATGGAACTCTTCTAAACAGATGAGGCATTCACTGCAATTAGTAGGAATAGCATTTAACCTGAACGATGGGAGTTCCTGAATTAAAGCTTCAACTGCTTCTCTCTGCACCCAACTCAGACAAGAAACATAGCTATCAGCATTCGACAATGAAACTGAAAATAAATATATAGAAGGTATATTTACCAGAAATATGTATCCACAAAAGGATATTCAAATAAGAGATATCAAATAAACATATTGCACAAATAATTCTAACCAACACATTGATAAAAAAAACACAAGGTAGTGGCATGAATAATTCATCGGGCAAACCAGGCAACAAATTTCACTAAAATTGCTTAATTAAAATCTACAGGACCAAAATCATACAATTAGAATATTTGAGGGATAAAAAATGCAATTAAGGCTTTCAATTATTATGATATAAATTTTGTTTCAAATCAAATATCCCGTGCATCCCAGGGGTAACTATACTAGTTCAGCTTGGACAGAATAGCACTAATTGATGCTTTACATGAGTTTCAACGTGATCAAGACATATAGAAATATAAACTAAAATAACCTGGGCTGGAGTTAGGTAAAGTCCAGGATGATAGGCAGCATCTTGGGCCATGCTCCTTGTTTCTTGACCTGCAGCTTCAAATGCCCAATCAGGTACTCGGATCATTTCAACTACAACCTAACAAAAACACAACATCAATTGTTATCAATACCATCCAGTTGTCCTGAATTTTGGAGAATCACACAGATATGTAGATTTTTTTTTTTGGTGGGGGGTGGGGGTGGCGGGGGGGGGGG